GGGGGGGGGGGAAGCAAGAGAGTGAGAGAGAGAGAGCGGCGATAGGGGTTGGTGGCGTGGACGGAGGAGGAGGAGGAGGAGAGGGATAGCTAGATCTTGTTGACTCTTCGATCGTTAATATGAATATGATATTACGCCGACTGACAGTTCTAGATATGAGATTTTAGACGGGTCTTTTGAGACGGAAATATAAAAAGGAGAGAAAGGGAGAATGAGAAGAAGCGGCAGATACTTTGTTGCCGTTTGCTAGCGTTTAATGGACATATAGACTATAATACAATACTACATGAATATATTTTAGCGCTAACACGAAAGTGCGTTGAAAATCTCCGGAACCTTACTCCGATTTAATAATGATAATCATTACAATGACACATATAATGAATTACAGTGTGGTCTATGTGTAGATATATATATATATATATATATATATATATAGATATATATATATGTTATAGAGATATATCGGTTATAAGTATTCTTATACCGTAAAGCAATTTAAAAATATTTTAGCATGCTCGTCCGCCCCTTGAACTGGGTACAGCTGATCCCTTTAATAGTTAACGGACTCGTGATCGGGACTCGGCGATAGAATGTCGAGGGGTTTCATTATATAGATTATATTTTATTCTCCCTGTGTGTGTGAGAAAGAGAAAGAAAGAGAGTAGGAAATTCACGGATGGATTACGCATACATACAATATTACGTTTTTTCCTCTCGTTTCCACCAATTTACGTCTTTAAGAATCCGCAACTGCTGTGCCAATCAAAAGTCATCAGTCTTTTCCGTATTTTTATTTTCATTATCATCGGTATGATCATTCTTGCGTACACCTTATTCTAGCGTTTCCGGTATCCATAGCTGCCAGTTATTTCGGGATTTATACTGTATTTGGACCCATACTCCGTCAAATTGTTTTGTAGTTTATTTTTCTCCTTGTAGCGTTTCCAATTCTTTCCGAGAAAAATGAACTCGAATACGCGTACAAAAAAGTTCATATATGCAGCATTCTTCATTATCGTTATTATTCGCATCGAAAAATGTTTTATTAGAGTCCGCCGGTTGTCTTAATGTCCCTTATAAATCGTTAAGTGACTTCGTTATTAATGTCCTTAATCCTTACCTATTGCTTTTCGGTTAAAAAGATAAATTAGCGAAATCGGAGAGCTGAGAAAAGATAATATGGTAGCAAATGGAATAAACAAAGAAAACCCATCGACATTAGATCGTTTCATTGATAGTTAAATATAACGAATAAACTTCACGTAAATGTGAGATATGAAAAAAGAATAAGAAACATAATAAGTAAAAGTAGAAAGCGTATACGTACCTTATTTGAAGCTCAAGTATACGTTAAATAATAGATAAATAAATAAATAATTCCAATATCATGAAATTGAATTCTATTTGCTTCGGTGTTGATAGTTTTCGTTTTCTCGTGATGAAGAAGAATCATATTTAATAATTTTGATTTACTGCGTCAAGCTTCTTCGTGTTCCCGCTGTAGCCGTGATATAATACAAAAATCCTTAAGAAATAAGATGAAAGACGAAAAGGAAGGAAGATTAAGAAAGTAGGAGTCGTAACTAAAGATTAAGGAGATTCGGTAATTATATTCATAATAGTAACAGGGAAGCACGGATTAAAAAGGGAGTAAAAAACATTCCAAGATTTTTGGTTCAAAACTAAACGAGTGAAAATATCAGCTAACCTCGACATTAAAACCAAAAATCATTACATCTAGCGTACAAAAAAAGAAATATTGAATTTTAACGTTATTCATTTTTATAGGTTGAGTATATCTATATGTATAGTGGAAATTGACACTTTTAGATTCTTATATCTCAAAAACTGTATGGTAATCGTATTCGAATTTTTCACAGGCAAAGATTATGTTTTTGTCTAATATATAGAACAAATGTAGAATTTTGTCTTGAATAATGTGTGATCACCGAATCTCCTTAAGGCAATTTGGAAGTAAAATAAAAGAAAAGTCTTTATGAAAAGGGATGGTCGATCGACAGAATTGAGGTGAAACGCGTGCGTGTGAGGAGGCTTTTACCGAATAACAAAATAATTAAAAGAAGAAGGAATAATAAGATTACAAATAATAATGATGATGTTAATATACGTATAGCGAGTAAGCTTCTCTCAATAGATCGTGGTGACAATAGACCCCCCTTTAACCGTATTATTCTTCCTCGTGCGTGAATGCGAATAAATATTGCGAGTGCGTGTGGCGAGAGGAAAAAAGAGAACAGGGATGAAGAAAAGGAAGAGATAAGCCAAAGAGGCAAGTTCAAGGGAGGAAGAGAGAGAGAGAGAGTGAATGCGAGTCGCGAGAAAGTTTGTTCCCACCCAAGAAAAATATAAAAAAAAAAAAATAAAAATATCCCGTCGTATTTCTGTGACGAAAATTCAAGTACCTTTTTGTGCAAGTCGACCTCATTGACATTGCCGTTCGTGTATAGCATTACACAAAATTAGCAAACAAAAAGAAAGAAACAAGTAATAATATTAATTCTAATAACTAGTACTAATAATGATCGTGGATATTTTATTCAACTGTTACTAGCCTACCGGTGTCCGCTGCAATGCACAAAAGAAATGAAACTATAAATGAAATATAAATTATATATGTATAAATAAGATGATATTGAATCGGTACGGGGGGGGGGGGGAAAAAAAAAAA